AGTAATATAGATACTTTCTAAGGTTAGTGTAGTAATCCTCCCATTTTTTTTCATGTGCTTTTCAGCTCTAAGTATGAGAGACGCTTACTCGGGGTATTCTTAAATAACGCTAGACCAATGACTAACATTTCATTACCACAATTATCTCAAACACTTCTAAAAACCGTATGACTCTCTTCGTCGTCAGGTTCGTATTTCAAGCTGTTTTTCACAACATATGGAGAGAAAGGAACTCTCGAAGACTTGGCAATCCACTATCCACATCATATCGGCTAATCCAAATCATCGACAAGAACATTTGAAACCGGTGTAACTTGATTCGTACTCTAAGAGACAAGAAATATGGGGAACTCTCATATATTGGTTTGCCACAAGAACATTTTAAGCTATTTAAGATTTCACAAACTCTATTGGAGATAACTTAGGAAGCAAGATGTGTTTTTTGCCCACCAAAGTATTGTGGCCATCAAAACCCAACTATGATGTGAAGTCTGTAAAACAGGTAAAACACGAAAAATGAAACACGAAGAAATAATTCTTTAGATCTTGATATATCTTAGCATAATTTACTTTATGTATTTAGTATAGTTTACATTATGTGGGTGTTAGCATTATGTTAATGTTATCACTATATATATCTTATTCTTTCGTATGAAGAATAATTTTATAATATATTTTATTTTATAATACTAGATAAGTACCAGTATATATGCAGATTTGTAATTTATATTTTAAAAGTTTGACTCGAATGATAATTACAAACTTCTTTTGTTGTAAATTGGAGAAGTGATAAAACTGGTTTTATAGCGATGGAAAATTAGAATTTGTTTTGTAGGTTTTTATTTTATTTTTTAATTTCCTAAATCTAAAACAAGAATATTTTTTTTTTTTACATCAAAACCACATATATATAACTATTAAACTATAAACCATAAAACATCAAACATCAAACATAAACCATCAAATATCAAACATCAAACATCAAACATAAACCATCAAACATAAACCATCAAACATAAAACATACACAAAACATAAAACATCTAAGATACTCTCGTCATTCTCTGCAAATGCTAGTTTGGTGGTCGTGAATCAGCCTCATCTGCAATCTTCTGCTTTTTGTCAACATGTTGTGAGCTTCCATCTGAATAGATATCCACAAGCCACTGTGCGCTTTTATTTTCATGTTCAAACTCTGGTGGCGGATCTACCAAGAAAACATCGTGACCAGTCCAAGGCAAATGGTAAAAAGAGCTGACCACCGATTCAGAATCACACCAAGTAGACAAAACAAGTGGTGTGCCAGTGTTTAGAAGAATACCTTGCCCAAGACTTTGTTTGAGATATCGAACCACACAAAGCGCAGCTTCCCAATGAGCAGGTTAAGGAGAACTCATAAACTGAGATAGAATATGAATAGCATAGGATAACTAAGGACGTGTATTAGTCAGATATATAAGTTTCCCAACCAAACAACGGTATGGAGCAGGATTCGACATAACTGTGCCATCTTCCAAAGAAAGCTTGTGATTCTGTTCCAACAGATGAGTAGCCGGCTTAACACCAAGTAAACCAGTTTCGGTGAGGATCTCGAGTGCATATTTGCGTTGATACAAAATAAATACCAACTAGACTTCGTGCGACTTCAATCCCTAAGAAGTATCGCAAAAAATGCCGAGGTCTTGCAATTGAAAACACGAGCTCAAATAAGTTTTAAACTCGTTGATTATATTAACCGAGCTACCAGTGATGATCAAGTCATCAACGTAAACAAGCACATGAATGCGAACAGATTCCTTCTCAAGTGTAAACAGGGAGTACTCAGACACGTCATGGTGAAAACAGTAAGCTTCCAAAGCTGATGCAAGCTTTGCATACCAACATCGAGGAGCTTGCTTTAAACAATGATGCGTGCATGGTGAGGGTGTCAAGTTTTACCCTAATGAAATCAATAAGCCGCAAGTGTATAGCTGATCGATTGTAGTATTATTGCTTTAAGACTCGTCAACATTCACAGTTCGCCCATAGGTAGGTTTCCACTCCTAAGATTAATATGCTCTTCTCAAACTAGATCTGGCCCCTGATGAATACTTTTGCAACACCAAGGACCTAGATCATATTGTAGTTCATGACGCTACTCCCATGCATTAAAAATAAGTCTAGAAGAAAAATTTCTAGGATTCGACTTCAATAGCTAATTGAATCTTCATCGAACATGTATAGCCCCCATCGAAAATCCCTTAAACCCAACAATAAAATTACTCAGACATGATTAAAGAAAGGAATAACATTGTATTGAAAAGCTGTATTAAAATCAATATGGTGAAAGAACAAAAATGGTTCAAGAGATAGATATCTCTATATCCATAGACCTAAAACTAAGAAAATGAAAGAAAAAAACTTAAAATCTGCTAAAAGAGAGGTTGCATATCGTCTAGGCTTCGTAAAATATGTATTTATAGTCTTCAAGTCATTTATGGGCGTTACTTAGGGTTTCTCCAAATGAGGGAATCGACTTGGGCTTGAAAATGGGCTTCTAGGCCGGACAGACCAATCTCTGCGGTCAGGAAGGACGGGCCCAGTGCGAATTGGGTGTTGGTCGCGGGTAGGAACGCTTGTCGACTGGTTTACAGGACATCTTGCTCTTCGCGTAACTTATGATTGAACCGTTGGATTGCGATGCTGTAAAGTGTGCTGGAAAGCTGGTAGTTCCATCCTCAAGGTCTCCAAATTTTAGCTGGATCAGACGGTGAGAAGGTCTTCTTTTGAGGGTGAACTTATGCTGGTTTGACTCTGATCTAAAATCTGGTCTTCAATCCATTTTGTTAAGCTTTTGCCTAAGTTTCCTGAAAAGATTCTTGAAACTACAAGTACTAGAAAAACATGATAAAAACATTTGAAAGCAATAGAAAACATAGAAAAAGTATTTCAAAAACGATCCATAAAAGTGGTCAAAATACGGTGTTATCAACTCCCCTAAACTTAAACCTTTGTTTGTCCCTAAACAAAGCAAAAATCAAATCTGGTGAATTGAAAACAAAAATAGGAAATGCACAAATCTCAGAAACATGAACTCCTAAATTAGGATCATAGATCGTACATAAGCTTGATGAGCTTGCGGGCCTAAGGTTGTATTTTTTAACAAGTCCATTGGTCCTCAAAAAGTTTTAAATTTATAAAACCCTAGTGTCTGCAAGTGCACAAATGTACGTTGTAGCCTGTAGGACTTAGGGTGTCGATCCACATGGAGGATGTCTAATCTACAAAAAACAACAAACTGGGAAATAAGCAAAGTCATAAACTCATGGGATTTTTGGGGTTTTATGGTTAAGAATCCTAAACTAAATCTAATCTAATATTCACAAGAAATAAGATGCAATGCAAATGAATTGTTAAAAGAATATCTCAAGAATATCGATTCAAACTATAGACTCTAAACTCATAGGTGGAGATTTAGACTTTTCTGATTTACTCTAATCGATGTCAAAGCATTTCCAATTAGCCTCCGAGCGATTTATCTTCATCTGTTTCTGGGATCTGCATGGAACTAGAATAGACATGTGTATGATTAACCAACTCTCGCCATCTTAATCAACTAATCACTCAGATTTAACAATTAACTCTCGCTCTCATGCCAGAAATAAAATCATGCATTAAATATTGAATTCGTCTGCTCACATCTTCTCTACAGGTAGCTCTCGACTCCTATAGCGACTATGTTCTTCTGTAGCTAGGTATGGATGATCTGATACAGCACTCTCGTGGCTCTGATCGATCCTAGGCTCAGAGAATAGGTCATGAATCTACTTTCATGCAATATGAACAACTTAGAAGAGATGAGATCCAAAATATGGTTTAGAAACTTAGAAATCCTAATCGATATGTATGCCTATCGATGACTCTTCAAACAACTAGACTCTCGGGGATAAATCTACATGATACAAGGAATGATAAAAGACATGAAAGAATGCAAAAGATGAAATAGAAAAGTTAATTAGATAAAAAGGAGAAAGAACAATGGATCAGGGGAAGAATCCCCATCTCCATCGTCTAACCCTAGAAAAATAAAGTTTGGTGGCTCAAAATCTCATTACAGGATCACACACCTGTTTAGGGCTGCTAAGAAATGTATTTATAGGTCCTAAGGTCTTCCAGGTCTCATTTAAGGCTTCTCTGAAGAGAAATTGCGAAGTGGGCTTTGATGTTGGGCCTTGTGGCTCGTATTTGGGTCCACCGGGGGTGAAAGTCTTCGGGGGCAGGTAAAACTTAGTTTTGCCGCGGATGAAAGTCTTCCAAGACTGGTGAATTTGGTCAACTTGTTCTCCATGTATCTTTTGACTGCACCGTTGGATCTTCTTGATGTAAAGTGCTATGGAAAGCTGGTTGTCTCCTCTTGATTGTCCCCAAATTTGAGCTGGATCAGACGGTGAGAAAGTCTTCATTTGAGGATGAACTTCTGACGGTCTGAATCTGAGCTAAAAATGTGGATTTCTTCCATTTTGCTATCATTTTCCCTAAATTTCCCGAAAAGAGCCTTGAAACTACAAATACATAGAAATCATAATAGAAGTTCATAAAACTGATTAAAACCTTTGAAAAAGAATTTGAAATCAATGATGAAAGTGGGTACAAATATGGTTTTATCAACTCCTCCAAACTTAGACTTTGTTTGTCCTCAAACAAAACAAGATCAAATCTGGAAAAATATCATTCAACAGAAATGAGAGGAAACTCAAATATCAGCAACCATACTTCTAGACCTTAATTATGGATAATGCATCAATCAGATCAAGTCTTGAAAATTCTCACCAAAATACAAATATAACTAGTCAGTTAATCTGTTATGCGAAAATACACACACTTAGAACTAACTTCCAGTCAACTAACTTTTAATATTCATTAAAAGTTTCAGTGATTCTCATCAAAAGGATATTAAACAAGGCATTCAAGCTTAGGTATCAAAAGGCTTTTAGTGGTAAGACTTGATGTGTTTAGGGTTACCTTTTCCTGGAGAGACAAGATATTATGCAAAACAGCAAGAGATGATGGAACTGTCAATGCCCCCACAGTTTCCGGTCACATTCTCCTTGCTTCAAGATTTCTGATCTCCTTTCTTCAGGTTCTTCTTATAACTCCGCCAGACTTGGATTTTTGTTCAGGTTGTGAATCCATAACTCCTTAATTGAATACCTATTGTCTTGGATCAAATGATTTCGGCTTCTAAAACTCTTTAAGCTCTTGGTTTCCTTTCCTTTCTTTTTTTTTTTGTTTTTTGTTTTTTGTTTTTTTTTTGGGAAAGGGGAAACCGCCTTTTGACTTAGAGTCTTAGGGAGCACGATAATTACCTTTAAGAATAAGCTTTTTAAGACATCATGAGGCTTGCTGAGGTTGCATGGTACACTTCCTTCCCGGTTACATTCAGCTCCTTCTCTTGAGTGACTGAAAACTATGTTGTTCCTCTCTCTCCGGCGTTTTTGCACATATCTGTCAATATAGACTTAAAAGAGAGTACATGAGGTTTGAACATAAAGGTTTGGGTTAAGGGTGAGGTACCAGCTAAAGATGAACATGCCATCTAGGAAAACAAAGAGTGGTAAAACAAGGTAAAGATGTCCTAGATGTATATCATGATGCCTTCTTAAAACCATTGATGAGAAAATTAGATGTCAAGATGAAGTCCAAGTAAAATGAGCAAGTATATCTTGTCAGAAAATATCTCCATGAATAGAAGTCCTCTGGTGGGACTTCGTAGTGTAAGCACTCTAGCTACCGCCTAGTCTAGTACTAAACCTTGAAAGAGCTTTTTATGAATGATCGGTGTAGAAGCAAGCAGGTTGGTTATCATCACCGATTTTGTCATTATTCCCTCAAAATGTATTTGACCTTTGAAAACACTTTTTGAAACTCAAAAGACTTTTGAAAACTTTTAAGAAAACTGAAAAAATTAAAAAAATTTGAAGAAAAATGCAGAATGCAAAGGCTCATGCAAGAAAGATGGTTAGAAAAGGATGAAATCTTCCCCCAGACTTAAATCACACTGCCCCCAGTGTGAAATAAGTCAGGCATGGATGAGAAATAAAGTATGGAAGAATTTAAAAGATGAAGGAAAAGTAAACTTACCTGGTGTTGGTGATGGATTGTGAGGTGATTGTAGAGGTGGTAGGATGTTGAATGCTAGATGATGTGGAGTGGTGTTTGATCAAATTTGGATTGATTTAAATCAAGGTAGAGATGAAAGTGGCCAAGGGTGGCCGAACTGGTGCTGACCGCGGATCAGGAGGTCGCGGCCGCGGTGGGATGCTTGCTGGCCGCGGGCCAAGTCTTCGTGGCCGCGGGCCAAGTCTTCGTGGCCGCGGCAAAACCTCTTCTAGCCGCGGCTGAAGGCTCTTCAGCTTCAGCCGCGGTCAGCTCCTTTTCTTCTCCTTTTTTTATAGATGCATTCTAAGGCCTGTCTAAAATAAGAAAAACAAAACTTTAATAGAAAAAAGAAAGTTAAACAAAAACAAACAAGTACCTAAATGGATTACCTCCCATCAAGTGCTATTGGTTTATAGACCTTAGCTAGACTTTGCGAAAGAAAATACTTAGTTCAAATAGGATCATGTCCTAAGACAAGTCTTTTTCGAAGTCCTCCTGTTCTGTCTTTCAGGTTCTTCATCACTCCAGAGTTCTTCTGGTTCAAATGCTTGGGCTTTACGATTTCCTCATTTGCTCTTAAGTGGTGTAGCTTCATCAAATATGTCCTTGTCGATATTTTCAAAAGAAACTCTCCGGTTGGACCAGTCCATGATGGCTCCTGCAGTTGCTAAGAAAGGTCATCCAAGGATAAATGGATATGAGTCATCTTTGGTCTTCACTATGTATATATCGACAGGTGCTATGCAATCTCCAATCCTTAGAGGAATGTCTCGGGCTATCTCTCTTGGTGTTGCACTTGAATCATCTGCTAAGCTAATCTTTGTCCTGGTACTTGAAATCTGCTTAATGCCAAGTCTCAAAGCAGTAGCTTTGGACATTATATTAATGCAAGCTCTAGAATCACAAAGAATATTGAGGAATCTTTCACCTCTAATGTTACAAGAGATAAGAAATTGACATTTGTCTTAAACGTTGTGCAGAGTTCGAACTGGTCTACCTTCTTGGGCGTTGTGAACAAGTCTTTCATCTCTTGGATAGATTCTTTGCTATCACAGAAGAAGTGGCCGATCATGTAGTCTCGATATGCTTTGGCAAATGAAATTTCTTTGGGCAGAGTTTGAACTACTTGATTGAACTCTTCAAGTGCTTCTTTGCTGATCTTGTTTGTGTAGTCACTGGCTTCTTGGGGATCTTTGAGATGGATCCTGTAAACAGCTGCATCAGGTGATGATCTTGGAAAAGATAGATACCTGGCTCTTCTGAAATAAGTGTAGATGTTCTCCTTAGTTTCCTTGTTGTATCTGAAGAAAACTTGAAGGCAGCCTTGCTTCCAGATGTCATCGAATCCCTGGTAGAGAGGAATGGACTTCACAAATTTGTTGAATTTGATTAGTCTCTCTCTGGATATGCTCTTGGTTATTGGTTCTGAGTTTTCATCAGATGAATTGTCCCCAGGGTTTAGATCTTCAACAAACAAACCATACTCTTCATCTTCTAAGAATTGCTCTTGAAGCTCATTGTCACAAGTGTAAACCATGTTGCAAGATGCATAAGTGTTGGATTCCTCCTTTTCCTTTGATGCTTGTGCAGTGATTGAGAAAACAGCTTGATCAAACAACCTAGTTCTGGTCACATGAGGTCGGTCTTCAGTTGAACAGGTTTCAGGAAGAGGTTGAAAGGGCTCTCAGTATGAGGAATCATGCTCCACTGCGGGTGAGGAGCTCGGGGCCACAGTGAAAGTGGCTCTGGGCGCGGGTGGAAGGCTCGCATCCGCGGTCAGCTCTTCTTGGGTCACCATGCTTGCTTCTTCATTCCTTTCTTGTCCATTGATTTTCTATTGCTTCCAGGGGTTGTCAGGAACGTCTTGGGTATTGATAACACCGTATTTTGACCATTTTTATGGATCATTTTAATATCTTTTACAGGTGTTTTTACTCCATTTTCAAAGATTTTCAAAGGATTTCTATGTTTCCGGATTTTAAAAGACTTTTCAGGTAATTTGGGATAAAGAAGCACAAAATGGAACAAAAAGACTCTTTTGGATAAATGCAGACCGTCAGAACTCTTATGGAGAGACGAAGACCTTCTCACCGTCTGATCACCCTCAAAATTGGACAACTTATAGAAGAATCAACCAGCTTTCAAATGCACTTGGTTTGGAGACATTCCAACGGTTATATCTCAAGATATTCCATTAGCCCCGGAGCCACTCGAAGACGGCCAACAAGTCACGCGACCGCGGCCAACAGCCCATTTCCCGCGGTCACAAGCCTCCCGACTGCGGCCAACCACCTATTCCCCGCAGTCACGTCACTCCCGACCGCGGCCGTCAAACTCCAAACTAAAGCCCATATTTCTGAAGCCCAAAGTCATTCTCAGCCTCAATTCTGGAACCCTAGAGACCATGGAGTATTGGAGACTATAAATACTTGTCATTTAGGTCGTTTTTAGACACAACCCTTCATACTTTACAGAAACCCTTTTCCTTTAGCCGTTTTTATGAGATTTTTGTAGAAGATTGTTCAAGTCCGAGTTCTTCAATAGAGAAGCTTTCTTTATCTCTTTTCTTTACTGTTTTTCATTACTTTTATTAAAACCAATGATGATGTCGAACTCAGCCATGTCTGAGTAGATCCCGAGTTGGGCTTAGGGTTCCCAAAAGGGGCTCTCATAATCGATTAAGACATCCAGGTTTATAGATCTGGGATTTCGACCTGTTCTCTGTTTATTCTTGTTCTTATTGCATGTATGCTTGATTGATCACCTAGTATCTGATCTAGATCGTTAGTGTTGCGAAAGTTTTCATTAAGTATCAGCCCTAGAATGAAACAGCCGATTTTTCCGTAAGAGTGGAAACCTACCTGCGGCGAGATCGTGAGTATTGACGAGTCTTGTGCAGCTCTTGCGTTCTCTCCCTTCCAGGGCTAGAGTGGAAACCTACTGGCCAGGGTTGCGAGAAACAGTTGGTTATGATCACGACAGTGACGTAGTCATACCGCCGTACTCTAGCTCTAGAACATATATATCGTTATCTGTCAATCCCAATCTATCTACCTTAGTGTTAAAACTGATTATGATCCCTTAGAGTTCCCAAAAGGTCAGCGTTTTTAGCCATAGTTTACAATTCCATCGATTTTTACTTGCTTTCTTAAACCTGCATTTCAATTTCCTTAGTTCATTATTTACTTGCTTTATTTACCTTTCATGCGATATTTTAACTTGCCTTATTAGTCTTTCATTCGATATTTGCTTATTCTAATTGCATTTCATTCGTTTTTCTTACCTGCTTTTTAGGATAGATTTATTTGCTTTCTTTTGTTTTAGTTTAATTCGCAAGAAAAACAACCAACCTTTAAAACCAATTTAGTCTAGACATAAAGTTAAAAAAACCGTAGAAGAATACCAGGCACACAAATCTCTGTGGATTCGATCCCTAAATACTGCAACTGATCAGCTGTGCACTTGCGGCTTTCATTTGTTTTGTTAAGGGTAAAACTTGTTCCCTCACGCAGTTGACACGACCACCAGGTATCCAAATAATTGGTTCCAGTGTTCAGATCATACTCCTTATGATCTTTAGAAATTTTTTCAACTTTCTCTTCTACTTCATCTAAAGCATAAACAACTTTATCTAAAGTAGCATCAAGCTCTTCTGTCTTGTTTTTAAGCTTAGCTACACCTTGCCACAGCTCCAATGTGTAGTCGTAGGTCTGGTTATTGCTTTTATTCAGCTCCTTGTCCAAGTCATCGATCTTGAAAGTTAGGGTTTGCAGCTCCCTTTCACTTTGTCGAATGTTGAACTTGTTCTTTTCTTGCTTTCTTCGATAGACTCCATTCTCTGATTCAACACTTCATTGTCTTTGGTTCTCTGATTCTCTAGTGTCTTCACGTGCTCATAGAGGT